ACAGCGGTATGTCTGCGGACTTACAATGCTAGAAACGGGTTTCGATACCCGTAGTGGGCAGAGCACAGCTAGTCTTTTGTGTAACTTTGTGCTTAGCTACGAACGAACGATATTTTTTATTGTATTATTCTTTTTGATGAGAATAAACGAAACAGCATATTGTGAGACTTTGTTAGTAAACCAGGTTTTAATGACCTCCAATAATTGTGCTGAAAAGTTAAGTACAGCAAGAACATTATTTAACAACTCGGCTGTTTATCATTACGCAAATACAAGTTTTGTTTTATAAAAAATATACCATGCTATCCTTCTCAAAATGAAACTGCGATATACGTCTATATATATATATATAAAAAAACGAGCTAAAAATACCTTACCATGTAATAAAGCAAACGAATAAGAAATATATAAAAATAAGGTTTGTTGAACATTAAAAAATATATTTAGTAAATAATCCAGCCTTTTTCATCCTTGCACCATTGTTAGAAGAAGCACTGTCGTTAATTGAATATTTATATATAAAAACAACTGGAACTAGTGTGAAGCTTCCGTCTCACTTTCCGTTTAGCAAATCACTGCAGAGTTTAAAAACTAGACTTTAAATAACATTCCAAATTCAGAATTGAATATTTACTATATGTAAGTAAAATCGTTTAAATTGAGAGAATCTTATGAGGAATTAAAACCCTAAATTATGATTGTTTCTTGGAAAGTGTCATCCATTTTTTAAACATCTCATAATTCAGTGACTTATTTCTTCATATATATTTATGAATGGAAATCTCGGCTCTGTTCTGTTCTGTAAATACATTTTCTACTTTTACTCAAATTAGTTAGCAACAGCAGTGAAGAAACCAAGGTTGAGATTAGGTCAGCTTCTTGCCTAAAAGAAATTAATTAATAAAATTAGCTTAAAATAATACCCACATATAAATATTTCAGTATTGTAGATATTAATTTTTTTAATTGAAAAAAAAAGTTAATGTAAAAGTATTGTCATTTTCTGTAACAGATACAACAAGAAAGCTAGGTGGGCCGAGCCCGACCAGGTGGTTAACGTTTCTGGCTGTAGATGTGAGGCCAAGTGTTCTATTTCCGTCAAGAAATAAAGTCGCGCTCCGCATACTGGTACCGTAGGTACATTATAAGATTGACGATCAAATCTCACTCTTTTTTTTTTCGAATACTTATGTGTTAATGATATTATTAAAACCGTACAATCCTAAGTACAAACATGCGTTTCCCTCCCTCTGAAATGTATAGTCTCATATTACCTAACACAAAGTTACCAATTTTTTATCTTCTCTTCAAAATACACAAATCCAACAATCCTGGTAGACCCACTGTTTCCACTTGAAGATTGCCCGAATGAAAACATTTCAAGGTTTTTAGACAACCTATTTTCCCATATTGTTCAGACATTTTCTACTTTCATTAAATACCCCTATGTACTTCAAAAGCATGGCACTTTTTGATTCTCTACTATCCCTGGGATCTTATTCACTGCTGTTATTACCAGTCTATACAGGGTAATTGCTCACAGTGAAGGATTTGAAACTATTGGATCATTCCTTGACAAAAGATCCTTTGTCTAACTGAATTACTCTTGGATATGAACTACTTTTCTTTCAATCACAACAAACAGAATTGTGGATTACAATGGGAAGAAAAATTGGACCTTCCTACACAGTTTGTTTGTTGGGTGTGTTGAACACAATGTATTTACCCAGTTTCAGGATATCCTTCCTCAATTCTGTTGTAGATATGTCGACTAAATTGTGGTAGCTACTTCAGATGATCTCTTTTTGAACAAATGTATTACTTTCCATCTTTCACCCCTGTTTTAACTTCACATGACACGTTTCTCAACAGGCCGTTTCTGTCCAGACCATTTAGCAACATCGATACACTAAAGGTCCACGGACTCACACTGTTATTCATGTTATGACTTACTTCACCCCAAATCTACCCTCAGCGCTATCCCATATTCTCAGTTATATTGCTTGGAGACGGCTTGAATGGGTAATGAAGAAAAACTTTAATATAAGTTTAACAAAACAGCAAACTTATATTAAAGTTTT